TATTTTTAAATACTATTCAAAATATTTTTCAAATACTATTCCAAAGAATATACAGTTCAAAATTTGAGTTACCTATAAAATGATTTAGATTATGTAAGTTTGTCACTTAAAAAGAAAAGTAATATTTAACTTCATTATCAATTATTCTTAGACACCCCAAAGGTTTTTTTCTAAATGAAATAAAATTATTTTTATGGAAACAAGGCACCTTCAGTTAAATTGTTGCCAAATTAAGAAATCTACTTTTCCTTGTTTCTTTGCCTTAGTATAAACTGAATATGTAAATAAATGATTTGGTATCAATACTGATACAGGGTCGCTATGGGTCGGAACAAACTCGATGGCACATAACAACAACAACAACAACTGATGCATAACACTGGAAGGCAGGTTCATATTTTTAGCTCAAGGTATACCTCTTAACAATGTGCTTCTAAAGAAAATGAAGTCGAAATTAACATTTTGAAAGATCAATAGAAAATTTAAACTACTGATTCCCAAAAGGGGTAGAAAATAAAAAGGTAGATAAGTCATTAAATGGATGGTCTAAATAAGGATTTTATGTTAAGCTTTGATCAGCCACACTCTCAGCAAACATTTAATCATTTTAATATTAGGCAACAGGTGGTTAAATGAGGAGAAAATGGTTGCAATTATCTCTGTACCCTCTAAAAGTCATCTATGCAAAAATGAACTTGCTTCACTAAAATAGTTATGTTAAAACCTGATTTATTTTTCCACATAAATCATTAAAATATTTTAATGCATTGTTTCTATTAAGAAATCTTTTATTTAAAAAAAAAGTTTAATATAATTTGGTCACATAAGAATAATGGAAAATATTAATTCAACAAAGTATTCTACACTGTAGTCTCTATAGAAACTGGTGGCACGGATTCTAGAATGTTTAATGTTTATGGTAGCCAACTCAGCTTGTTTCAGTGTGGACTTAGTGTCCTTTTCATAGACCTTAAACCCATCAGACATGGATGAAGGCAATGTTTACAGGGAAAGGAAAGAACACAGAATTCGCTAAGATATATATTACAATAAAACCTAAGCATTCTTAATAATAATACTTGCACTAAGACTGATAATATTTAGGTATTCATGTCTCCAAATAAGTTTTAGATAACAAAACCTGAACCTGAGCTTTATTAAAAAAAGCAAAAAAAATTAAAGTAGTTATAAATACTTAAATGCCATAATGTGAAGCACTGCTCAAATATTGAGGGGAAAAAAAAAAAAAAAAAAACTCCATTTATCCAAAAGAGGGTATGATAAAAATAATGTTTTTTCCAGGTTTAGAAATATCTCAACTGGTTGTTTGCCTTTTTATTGTATTGAATAATAGTAAAAACCTACATAAAACTAATATGCAAGGAGTTTGTTATAAGAACATTCATTTAGCTATGAAGTAATAGTTAAGCTTTGCTCCTAAAGCATATAAGACAAAGCTTTCCATTAGATATTATCATTATCATTTTTCATTGTAGGTATTCGCCTAGTATCAACAATCTACAACAAATTTTAAAGTACAAAATAGAGTTTATTTGCAGGGATCCCTTAGTCAGAATAATCTATGCCTAAGGCTTGGTTTATCAGTAACTTTATGTAAGGGATGATAGGAGAAGAGCCAGGAGGAAAACTAGCCTAAGCTTCTATTTTTCAAATTGTGGCAGAATATGACAGAAAGTGAGGTGGTGAAAGAAGTTAACTCATCTCCACGCAGTACTAGAAATTCTCTTAAATGTCAGAGTAAGGGTTAGCAGTGTGTCTGTGAATCACTGGCTCCCTTTCAGGTCTTTTAGCTTAGTAAAAGGATGCCTGGGGGCGATCAGTAGCAGTCAGAGCAGACCCCTTACTGGGACAACCATGTAGACTGTGAAGGGATGGACCAAGCTCTTTAAACGAACAGTTCTCCTAGGCTCTATTCAGATCCGTTGGGAAAAATGACTATCACGTCAAGAACTCAGGCAGGCTCCAAAGCAAACAATCTAGTCTCCTGTCTTTAACCCTTTAGGAAACTCCCTGGGTAGCTTTCAAATAAATCCTTTTCCTCCTTGCCCCCTGCAAGATGTCTGCAATTTTCAAGGCATGGATTTATTTTAGAATAAAACATAATCGAGTACATTGCAAATATATTCTGGATTAAATTTAATACCGAAACACACATTTTATTAGCAATTTTATGTAATAAGGTGTAGTTCAACTTCTGCCTACTGGTGCCACCAAACAACCTCCAATACTGGCAGAGAGGGCATTTATAAATCTTACATCTTCCTACCTCCTCCCTCAAATTCCTTAATGGACCATTAGTAACGGGATCGATCCTCGTTACTTTAGCAGCAGTACATCGCTAAAGCGCATCTACTGTGTTTACTAGTGACAGAAAAAAACATTCAAAAAGTTGAGAAGGTAGAGCCGGCGATTTACAAGCCTTTGGGAAGCAGGAGTGGGAGGTACAGCTGGAGCGTGTGAAAAGAACGAGAAGAGAGAGGACGTTGTGAGACCCGAACTCTTGAACATCCAACAAGCAAGCCTTGCACCAGCTGGGATAGGGTGTCGGAACTGAGAACTTCTCTAGTAGGAGGCGAGCCACTCCTCAGTCAACCAACACCTTTCTACTGGAAAAACTGAGCCACGCTCTGCTGTCCACCGACCATCCATCCAACTCCCCCGGTCCCCGCCACAGAACAGCGCGAGCCCTCGCGCGTGCCCGGGGACGGGGCTACACAGCACTTACGTCTCGGAATTTGTTCCACTGTCCGACTTCCTTGTCATACTGAGAGATCGTGGTTAGCCATTGTTTGTCATCCAGAAAATTGCCGCCGTCCGACCGCCCCCCGGCCGCAGTCACCGCCGCGGCAACTGCGAGAGCCTGACTGCACCAAGCCGCTGCACACACACACAATACAGCTGACACCTTGAGCATCTGGAGAAGGAAACACAATCAGAAGGGTGGAATGTGTCAAACAAGAGGTACGAAGACTCGAGAGACCCTGGAAAACATGCATCAGCAACTACCATGGTAAAGGCTGGATGAAGCGTGCAAGAATGGTGAAGCAGCCTCTCCACAGGCTTTACCTCCAAACCTGTGCACTGACACACTAGCAGACCCCGGGAAGGGAGGTGGGTATAAGGAAGGATCCCCACCCGCAGAACCCCACACGGTCGAAAAGCCTCCAGGCACATCACCTTGTTATGAGCCCGCACTGTGCTCTCGCAGCTTCTGCTGGAAATGCAGCCTTGCGCTGCCAACTCGCTGCTTTCAGGAGCTGCTGCACGCGCCGCGGTCTAGAGCGGTCCACTCAGCTCCCTGAGCCTAGCGCTCTCCGCTCATCTCCACCCTCCCCCTCGCACATTGCTCTCTCGCGCTTACTCCCCTCAGTTCACCCCTTCCCTCCCCCACCTCTTTTTTTCTTCTTCTTCCACCGCCTCTATTCCACCACCTTCACGCTGGATCCTGACTGCAGCAGGCTCCAGAAGCGAGGTTCAGATGCAGTTGGTCTTTGTCTTAGACTTCTTATCTTGATTTCTAACCTCTCCCCTCCAGAAGAGGTTCTCATGTTTGCCACACAGCATGGTCTTGACTCCTGCATTTATTTAACACCAAAGCATAGTATCTCTCGTATTTGCCTCAGCTCTGCAATTTCGAGGATGTCCAGACTGACTTTGGAATTGAGCTCGGAAGAAAACTTTATGCATCACCAAGTCAAGACACACCCTGGGCTTTCAGTCCTGTAAATCTCCTAGACTGAGCTGTGCCCTAAAGTAAACCCATGTATTGGACCTGGGAAATATGTTTAATCTCAGAAAATTTAAAGTTTCTATCCATGGATTTCTGAAATACTACAGAGGGCAAACTTGCATGTTAAAAGTGGAAAATTTTCCCTCCCTCCTTTCCTTCATTCCTTCTTTAAAATAGAAGAATCACTACCAGGTAAGATGTTTGCAAACACCTAAATCTTCCACATATTGTAGATGCATTTTCCCTTTATTAAAGCCCCTTCACAACTATATTTTACTTTCTAGGCTTTGAACTAAAAGTTTTAGCCAAATCTATGACTCACTAACTGCAAAATGGGAAGAAAAATTTGAGATCCTAACACCAATTTAGGACTCCAAAACCACATTTATGATAAAATAATTAGCTGTCCATTGCCATTTCCACTTAACCTAAATATAAACTAGAAGGAAATAGATAATTTGCCCCATATAAACAGAATTGAAACAATGGAATCTTTCTCACCTGCTTAGAAATTAGGTGAATATTAAATGCAAACACAGAGATTTATGAAGCCTCAAAAAGCTGAAATGATGCTGTATGCTTCTGTTTACCTTATTAGATATCTTTATATGTTGTTGTTATGTTGTTAAGTGCCATCAAGTCAGTTCTGGTTCATAGCAACCCTTTGTAGGGCTTCTGAAAAGCAACCAGTGGGTTTGAACCACTGACCTTGGTTTAAACTGACCTTGCAGTCCAGAGCGTTATCCGGCAGCTCCACACCAGGACTCTGAAAATATCTTGCATTTTCCAAAACCTCAGGAGCTACTTGAATAGCAGCAATATTTTCAGCACACATTCCCTTTTTCAATTTTATGTGACATTTGTGCATTTTTTTTCAGTTACTTTAAAGTAGAAGTAATCACATGTTGCTGTGATACTGGAAGCTATGACATCAGTATTTTAAATACCAGCAGGGTCAACTACATAAGCAAAAAGATTGATAGCTTAGCTATTAGTGTGCTGAAATGGACTGGTATTAACCATTTTGAATGTGACAATCACATAGTTTACTATGTTGTTGTTGTTGTTAAGTGCCATTGAGTCCATTCCAACCCATAGCGACTCTGCCTAAGGTTTCCAAGGAGCAGCTGGTGAGCTTGAACCACCGACCTTGCAGTTCTAATGACTTTGCAATCTGTAGTATTAGCCCACAGTGCTATACCAGGATTGTTAGCTCTGTAGTTATTGTTGTTGGTAAGTACCGTGGAGTCGGTTCCGACTCATAGTGTCCCTGCACAGGGTTTCCGAGGCTGTAAATGTTTACGGGAGCAGAAAGCATCATCTTTCTCACGCTGAACAGCTGGTAGTTTTGAACTGCCGTCCTTGAGGTCAGCAGCCTAATTCGTAACCACTAAGCTACCAGAGTTCCTTAGTTTACTATGTAGGGCATGACAAACTGAGGAATGGCATCACATTCATCATCAAAAATAATATTTCAAGATCTATCTTGAAGTACAATTCTGTCTGTAATAGGGTAATATCCATATGCTTTTAAGGAAGACCAATTATTATCAATGTTATTCAAATTTACTGACCAAACACTAAAGCCAGTAATGATGAAACTGAAGAATTTTATCAAACTCATCTGTCTGAAATTGATAAAACATGCAATCAAGATGTGCTGATAATTACTGGCAATTGGAATGCAAAAGTTGTAGAAAAGAGGAAGGATCATTAGATGGAATATAAGGCCCTGGTGATAGAAAGATGATAGAGAGCTCATAATGAAATGTTGCAAGATGAATGACTTCTTCATTGCAAATGCCTTTTTTAAACAACATAAAAGATGATTATGTACAGGATCATAACCAGATGTCATACACAGAAATCAAATTGACTACATCTGTGGGAAAGCTCCATATCATCAGCCCAAACAAGGCCTTCAATTGCTCATATACAAATTCAGGCTGACACTGAAAAAATTTTTTTAAAGTCCATGAGAGTAAAAATATGACCTTAATCATATTATATCTGAATTTAGAGATCATATCAACACAAAGATTTGATGTATTTGACATTAATTACCAAAGACCAGAAGAATAGTAAGATGACATCAAGTACATCATACAAGAAGACGGTAAAAGGACATTACAAAGACAAGAATGAAGACAAAGACCAAAATGGATGCCAGAAGAGACTCTGAATCTTGCTCTCCAATGGAGACATGCTAAAGCAAATGGAAGAAATAAGAAGGCAGAAGAGCTTAACAGAAAATTTCAAAGGGCAGCTTAAGAAGACAAAGTCAGATACTATAATGGATTGAGCAAAGGACTGGAGTCAGAAAACCAATAGGATAGTACATGTTTAGCAATTCTCAAGCTAAAAGAATGGAAGAAAAATTCAAGACTTCAGTTGCAGTACTGAATGATTCTATGGACAAAATACTGAATGATGCAGAAAACATCAAAATAAGATAGAAGGAATACACAGTCACTATACTGTATGGTCGATATGCAACCACTTCAAGAAGTAAAATATGATCAACAGCCAATGGTACTGAAAGAAGAAGTCCATGGTGCATAAGGCCATTGTCAAAGAGCAAGGCTCTAGGCACTGATGGAATACACATTGAAATCTTTCAATTAACTGATATAACATTGAGGGCACCCACTCCTCTATTCTAAGAAATTAGGAAGAAAGCTACCTGGGCAACTTATTGGAAGAGATCCATATTTGTACTCATTAAAGAGAGGTGACCCAATAGAATGTGGAAATTATCTGACAATATCATTATGTTCACATGCAAGTGAATTTTGCTAAAGACAATTCAGCAACTGCTGTAATTGTACTTTGACAGGGAACCACCAGAGATTCAAGCTGGATTCAGGAAGGAAATGGATGAGGGGATGTCATTGCTGACATCAGATGGATCTTGGCTGAAAGCAGAGAATACCAGAAATATGCTTACCTGTGTGGATCATGACAATGTATGGACAGCATTGCAGAGAATGAGTATTCCAGAACACTTTGTTGTACGAAAGAGGAAACTGAACATAGTCCAAGAGGCAATCATTCGAATAGAACAACAGGACTGTGAATGATTTAAAATCACGAAAGGTATGTGCTAGTGTTGTATTCTGTCACCATACTTATTCTATCAGTGTATTGGGCAGGTAATCTGAAAATAACATGGCAACATGATTGGATGAACACTCATTAACAACCTGGGATATGCAGATGATAGATACACACTTGCTTGCTGAAAGCAAAGAGGACTGAAAATGCTTAATGATGAGGATCAATGACCACAGCCCTCAGTTTGTGTTGCAACTCAAGTTTTTAAAAAATCAAAAACCCTCACAACTGGAGCAATAAATAACATCAAGATAAAGGGGTA